TGTTGTGAGCCCGGTGGCCAATGGGCTTCTCTAGAAGATCAAGTGTCACTATAACAGGAGGACTTAATCGCCCGGTAAAGTTTGCAGACCCCTGTGAAGCCCGTCCCATTCAGCACAGAGCTCCTCACTTCTCTGAGCTTCCCCCTCTCAGGTAAGAAGGAGGTTCCGGAGAGGGATGTGTTAGTGAAGGGACGGGGAGAAGACAGAGCGTGTTCAGACCGTAGGGAAGGCTGCGAGGGGCTGGGCAGGAGTTCATGGGCCTAGAATAGGGTTTCAGAGTTGCAGGACCACCCATCCATTTCTCTGTTCTACTTTGCCCCTTTGCTGACCTGTTCCAAAGGACATTTGTTTCAGGTGAGTGAGAATAAAGGACTGAGGTCCGTTTCAGGGAACCGTCGTGCCCAAAGCCAGCGAGAAAGACGTACAATCTTGCATGGCGGTCGGGGTCAACGAGGAAAAAGATGTCTCACATACACAAAACACACTCATAATCTGTGATGAGGTCAGAGCTGGGAAGACTGCTCCAGGTTTTGGGGGGTGGGTGGGATCCTTAGGTGGGGTCATTTCCAATGTTCCCTCTAAGCTGTGGAGTCTTGAGAGCAAAAAATTCTACTTTGTGAGCTACTGGCATTAAAGTTGTGAGAGAGCGATTTGGCTGCTGCATCAATTAGTTTGCTCTGGAGCCCCATCCTTCCTGAGCTAAGACAAAAATGCGTGCGCTAGAGGCTAAAAACTGTGAGCTAACTCACACTAACTCAGCTTAGAGGGGACACTGGTCATTTCGACTTGTGCATCCAGCCCTCTCAGCCAGTGAACCGAACTCAGAGGCCTGTGGTGATGATGATTTCTGAGCTCTTTCTGCCCTCCGCGTGAAATGTCCCGGCTTGGAAGCTGCTAAAGTGCAGTTGTTACCTAGCTTGCTTCAGTTAGGGATCACTCCGAAGTATGAATACTGGAGAAAAGGCAATTTGTGACTATGCAATAACTTTAATTTGCTTCCCCGCGAATTGTATGTTCAGTGTTGGATGCTAGGAACTTCAAGCATGTGGTTTATAGAGAAGCGTGTTGCAAATACTGGAAAACGTAAGTGTGAATCAGGTCTTAGAGTCGTTTGACATGACTAGGACGTGTCAGGGGTAACCTCTTGGCTAGTGTTCGTCTGCCCAGGTTTGAAAAGTGGATCAGATCTAATGGGGACGGCAAGGTACTGAATTGCATCTTTGACATTTAAGCGGCTTGATTAATTAATTGTATTGGTGGTTGTAGCTGCTATCTTGAAAATCATGGCATGTTGGTGGGCATAGAAATGTTTTTGGGAGGGGGAACAGGCCTAAATACAAAGGCCCTGCCAGGACACAGCATGGGGCATTTTTAAAACAGAACCTTCAGGCTTGTTTGATGGATCTGACTGGGTCTGTGGAGTCTTCACAGGCGCTGAGGTTAGGCCAATCAGTAGTCAAAGAGGTGGCGGCATACTGTTCTATGTCCTTATCGCTGTTTCTAAATAGTGGAGGG